ACGGTATGACTCTTTATCTCATTATAAAATCATTGAACTTTTTCTAAATTAATTCTCTAATGTTTAAGACTTTATAGAAAAAAAAATATTAGCATTAAGAAAGATAGAAAAATTTTCAATTTAAAAAAAGTTAATAAATTAAAGTTTAAAAGTAAATTAAATTAAGTTAAAAATTAATTCATTTAAAATTAACTAAGTTAAGTTAAAATTTATTAACTTTTTAACTTTTTTTTAAAGACTTTTCTTTAAATGTTTCGACTAGTTATTATCCAATCCTGATAATTATTGTAACTATAATTATTACTGCTCTATACATATATAAATATTAGTAATAATAACTGTGTGTATGTTTCTATCAACATTTGATGATACAGCTATACATATAATAATAATTATTATTATTAACATTATAACAAGCAATAATAATTATAAAAAATAATTATAAAAAAATTTCTAATAATAATTATTTTACTATACAATTATAATCAGAAATACCAAACATTTTTCTCATTCAATCCAGTGCTGCAAAAATAAATCTTTGTTCATTAACGGAACAAGTACTATCCTACCTGAGACTGTAAGGGTTTTTGCTTTTCAGATTTCTTTATCAAAATTCTAGCAAATATATAAAATAGCTACCATTTTAGAAAATACGTTCATTGTCTTTTATGAGTCAAAGAGACTTGGGAAAGCGAAATACACATGTTTGAGGCATTTTTTCGCGTCTTTCAGATTCCAGATGACATGTCATGCGGCTCGTTTGTCAATCGTCTCGCCGGTGAAAACTACAATTAGTGAATATTTAGTTGCAATGCAATCGCGCTCCAGGCTGTTTACAACAACAACGTGGTTAACTAAATTAAAATTTTCTCCCAAATGCTGACGCACCAATTTTGAGCGATGTGTACGCGACTCGTCACTGTTACGCTTTCCTCGTCACGTTCTAATGCGGTCGAGCAGGCAAAAACTGGGCCGCGCCAGCTGGATGAAGCTCCATTACATGCTCCGGCAAACGGAGCAATCGAACTGTCGCGGAACTTGAAGTGCTGTTTCCTCGTCATCATCCGCGATCTCGCGCGGATCTCAGATATATCCCTGGTGAAATTTTTTCTCGGAATTTTTCATATAATTTTTTAGAATTTTTATATAATTTTTCAGAATTTCTTTATAATTTTCTAACTTTCTCACATTTTTTTATACGAATTGAAACATTTTTCAGAAAATCTACATTTTTTCTCAGAATTTTTCATATATGTTAATTATGAAATATCGTAAGATTTTTAAGATTTTTTGTAAGTATAATTTCTGATGAAATGTTACAAAATCTAAAAAATTTAAAAATACTTTTTAAAAATTACGGGTTGAAAAATTTCAGACTATTTCAGAATTCACTTGTATGAGAGAAGATGTAAACTTTCCGAATATTTCTGAGTATTTCTGAAAAATGTTTCAATTCATATAAAAATTATGAGAAAACTTTCATCAGGAATATGTATGTATAATCAGATCGGACACGGAGAATCATGGCATCCGTCTTTTATGTATGCACTGTAACAACGACCACCGATAAAGCGAGCGATCTCTTGTGTAATGCCCATGTTTTTACTTCATTCAAGCTTGTTCTTTTCAACTTCGTGCACCGTACATCTTCCCAGATAACAAAAAATGATTCAAAAACGTCTTACGTCACAATATTAGACTTTGTGTTATTTGGATTGCCTCTTTTTTTCAACAGAGAGAAAAACGGACAAGATGAACCGTGCAAAAGTTTAGCTGAAAATGACAAATTTATTTTCTCGCGTACTTTATAGTCGTGTTCACAATAAATGTTTTAGACATTTGCAGGGCAAATAACGCGTTCATAATCGATTCTTACATTTAAGACTATCTTAAATAAAGTCTTAAGATTTACAAACAAATCATGGGCTTTCTTCAATAAACTATTACCTAAGTTTTACGTCTTTAATCGTAAGACATCAATCAATCAGTCGAGTGCGAAAAAATATAATCAATTATGATTGGTCAATTTCTTATAGGTAAAGACTTAAAGCTTAGGTAATGACTTATTTTAGAAAGCCTATTAGAGCGGTGTATTTACATCTTAAAACATTACTTAAGACGGAGATTTGAAATAAGAACGGATTATGAATACTGACTTTACATTTAAAAACATGCCTAAAAATACTATCTCGTGCTATGATATCGCTGCGCGTTAAATATATTTTTTTAGAAGATGCGATAGTGTTCTCTTATTAGAAAAGACTCGTATCTCATGATAAATAATATCGAACGTGATCAAATGCCTGGTCGTACGTGTTCGCTGCGTTGAACTTCCAGGGATCTCCAGCGGATTCTGCCCACTTCTGGTCAATTACGGTGGCACGCAGGAGAGACGTAGATCCATTCGCGTGGCGGATTGGCGCACACGTTGCACGTTTTGTTTTTTACAGCCACCGATGTTGCGCAGCAGAAAATCACGCGCACAGAAAATATATATGTATCGGAGCACGAGAAAATCAATTCTATTCACTCTCTCATTCTCCACGATACGCGACGCAGCGTACCCGTAAGCCTAGCAAGGTAGATAGAACGCAGTAGAAGGGCCTTAACGCGTAAACAATGTGCGTGTGGAGAGTATACGACACGCGTTCCCGACGTCACGGTGCCTTTCATGTAACTGAAGCGGACTGTGAACTGCAGCAAAGCAGACCCGCAAGAATCCGGCCGGTCGCCCCGTTCTTGCCGTTACTCGATCGCCCCGCTCTTTCCACAAAACAAATCTATCAAACAGGAAGACGCATGCGCGCGCTTGTCGTTGAAAAAGAGCGCGAAAGCCGCGAACTTAAGGCACTTTGGCTGTGTTCAGTAGAAAGATTAAATTACTAGATGAAAAAGCGGGTCATAAGACGTTTCTTGCGTCTGAAAGATGATTTAAAGATGTCTTATGTCATGATTTTAGACTTTGTGTTGTTTGCAACCTGTTATATAATTATTTAATATGATTGCCCTTAGTTCCTCACTGGAATTATAAATATATAAACCCATCATATTAAGGAATCTTATAACAGTTGCAAAACTTCTTTTTCTGCTAAACGCAGCCGTTATTATTGCTTATTACAAATACAGAGGCTAAACATAATAATTTGAACACCTGAGAAATATATATTACTTGGTTTATTAATAATTCAAAATATGTAGTATATGGTTTATTAATAAATCAAAATATGTATAAACATATAGAGATATTGGAGGAGGAAATTTGCTTCTTATTCTGCTGTTCAAAATTACTCGCTGATATTTGAATCAGACGATTGCATTAGCTAAAAAAAATGTTTGAAGTTTCGAAGAATAGAGCGAAATTTTTGGAAAAATGGAATAAAAAGCAAATTTCCTTCCCTAGCATCTTGTATAATTGGAAGATAATTCTGTTAAACTAATGGTACATTTCATTGATAATTATTCAAGCATTGTACGATTCTATTCCAATAAGAATCTGTATTAAAAGCAAATGTGTTTCTCATTAATAAAACAAGTAAAGTATTTTCCAGGTATTCACGTATTCATTTGTTCATCCTCTCTGTGTCTCTTATAATATTGTCTTAAAGATTACAATGGACGTATTGACAACGTTGCTGTACAAAACATATTTATTTAATAATTTATGGAGATGCGCATACACAGCGTACAACGTACAAGCGTTCTTGCAGTATCGCTACTTGGTGAAAAGTCGCATTCGATTTTCTAACGATTATGTACAATCACATCTTTCATTTAGCGATCGTGGATGAAACAGGATCGTTTGCTACTTAAGTTCCTCAAGTAAAATAATTAGATTAAAGCTTGTTTTACAATAAGGCCGCAAACCGTACGAAATTATCCAATCACAGTTTAATTTTTTCATATTCAGCTGTGATTGATCAATTTCTTATGACTGGTTTATGCTTCGATCTTAGACTTAAAAGTTGGCAATAAAGCCATAAGATCGTTTATGCTTCCCCAGTCTTAACCGTAGTCTTAATCTTAGTCTCAAGAAAGTTCCTAAGTTCTTTTAACTTTAGTTCTTAAGATTATGTTAGGACTAATTATTTAAGTATAAACCAGGCATTACTGTTATATTTATACATCTTGCGACCCTAATATAAAGACACCCGACTGCCATTAACGAAGAATGTAAATCTCATTCTATTTTACAAGATAGAGTCAGCTAGATATCGACTGCTTAAAATAAAATGAGAAAGCAATTGATATCAAAAGAAGGAATTTACTCATGTCTTAAACTTCTACAATACATAATGGTTTTCCTGCTGGATTTGTTGCCGTGTTGGTCATGTTATTGGTTTGACTTCAGACGGTGCGAATTTTCGTGCTAGATAAAATAGCACGAAAACGAATAGCTGAATCTAAAGGCCACGGCAGATAGAAAAACTGAAGACGTAAGCAGTAAGTGAATTGATCGATCATATTAGGTGTTGGAATTAATTCGTAGCGTTTTTTAATGAAAGAATGTTATTTATTTCACATGAGCATTAAAAAATACATTAATGAAAGTACTTCCCATCACTTGTAAAACGCTACGAATTAATTCCAACACCTAATAATAAAGATCATGCCTACGTTTACATAGCTCGATTTACGCCGAAGTTATAATATCGTTATTATGAAACTGACCAATCCAGTCATTCCATTCTTCAGAGGAATAGCTATGATTTACCAGCTTTATAACATCGATGTTATAACGTTATTCGATGTAAATCGAGCCATGCAAAACGTAGTACACGAATAAACAGTAGCGAATCCAACATAATTTCCTTAAGTCTTATGTCTTAAGTTTTTCTATGCCATAGCCTTAACTCTGTTTGAAGAGCTCGAATAAATAAATATCAAGTCGTTGCTGTTATTGTATATCACTAAAAAAATACAATTAAAATTTTACGTCTATTTTTTCCTTTCATTTCTTTTTTAACAAGTGAACGTTATATTTCTTTTCATTTCTTTCTATTTCAGCAAATGACATATGATCAAATAGGATACTTCAACCACATGACATAGGATGCGTCCTAATTCATTCTTAATGAGCGAGCAAAATCGTGTAAAAAAAAACAGTATACTTGATTTTCTAGAAGATCAGCAACGTGTCCATCGTATACGTACTATTCTGTTTTATTTATATCGCTTTCTTCTTATTACAGAACAATCAAAAGTCATCATTCAGTATTAACTTTTACTTGAGGAACTCTATTTACTACAAGCGACGAGCACCATGCATTTTGTTCGACACGGCACATTATTCGATGGCGAATCACCTAAAAATATTTCGCTATCGATTAATTCTCTCTCTCTCTTTCTCTCTCTCTCTCTCTCTCTCTCACTTTTTCTTTCTTGCTTCCTCTTTTCCAATCGCGAGCCGATGTCGAGAGAAATTTGAGACGCAATTAAAATATGTACGGCCGCGGCGCATAAATATACAAAGTTAAAAATACCTAACTATTCAGACCCGATTTTTTTGTTTACCTAATACAAAGCTTGCGTCTCTCTACATATAATGCTGTTTGTGTTCTGTCAAAAATATTCTATGTACAAAGATGGGGGGGGGGGGTGTGCTTATAAAAAGAATATACGATTTCATAAAATGAAAATCCCCGTGGCTTTATCTCACGTCGTAAAATATAGAAAGTCTCACTCGTCCACTAAGATTCTGCGTATTAGGAGAAAAGATGGTCCGCCGAAACTTAATGCGTAGGCATCGAATCTGTATACAATGCAGTGGCACTTGAATATCTATAAAAAGCCCGTATATATTACACACTGCAAATTGAAAATACAGATTCTCTCTTTCTTTAAGATGTCGCGATGATTTCCCATACGAACCACATTTAAACATTATCAGACGTAGTGCGCTAATGAGAAAATCTTGAATTGTAAATAGATTTTCAACTATAAAGAGATATCTTATAATTCAACTATAAAGAGATATTTTATAATTCAACATGACAACATGATACATGACAAGAATGCTCTTTGATTCAACAGTAGGATCTCGTTTTTACTAATATGCGATAATAATGAGATTCTGCTATTATTAAATATCGAATAACACGTTTCGAAGTCGGTATATCACCTTGTTTCGCAGAATCATCATCATTTTCTAAAATTTCACACAAATGCTTTGCGAATAAACATAGAAATAAGTACTACAACAGTTAAAATGAGAATGTAACTAGAAAAATGTACAAATAAAAAGGAACGGATCCTTTGTGATTTTTGTACATCTCGAATGTACAAAAGGTTAATCTTGCATATCTATGTGTGATCTATATTGTAACCTCAAGGGTGGGTCCCGGAACCTCCATCTCGTCACATAAACGAACTTCAATGTGTGGTCTTTACCTAATAATTCATTATTGCACAAAATATCGATCTGTCAAGAAATATAGACAAATTAATAAATAATAATTGTATCATCTATAATATCAATCATCAAATACACTTACATCTCTATATTTTTCCATGCCATTCAAAGCCTTTTTAGCAATAAATTTTTTCATATGCGTTATCGTAGCCTGAGCTGAACACCTGATAAATCGTCTTTTCAGAGTTTTCAAACTTGAGTTTGTGCACTCCAAACATACGTTAACCTGCAAATTTGATTAATTTTAATACATTATTAGCACAATTTTAGCACATTATTAGCACAATTTTAGCACATTAATTTTAACTGATTAAAGTATTTTATTCTTGTAAACTTATATTATTGACACTGCAGTTCAGTACCTGTTCATCAGTACGATGATAATCTGATTCTGCATGTGCATCTGCATTGGCTTTTTCCTCTTCAACTTCACCAGCGTTGGGCAAAATATCTTTAGGACAAGGCAAACCTCTGGCTCTGTAAAATTCTCTTTCTCTTTTGATTTCGTCTAAAATAAGAAAACATTTCCGCTAATAATTGAAAAGAAAAATTTATGTTAAGGGATTAGAAAATAAAATAAAATTAAGATCCAAAAACCGAGCAAAAAATCTTTTAACTCTTGATTATTGCCTTATAAAAACAAGCCGTGAACTTATATCCATTGGAATAAAATTCTTACTTTCTTGGAGATCAGGAACTAATTTGTAAACAATATCCTGCATAGTTCTGTCGAAGCTGATGTACTGGAGTGGATGAGACTGATGTATGACAATCTGACATGTCGGACAGGTATGCTTTTCCTCTAGATGCTTTACCAAACAACTCTTGCAGAATGTATGTAAACATTCGGTAACAGTAGTGGCGTCAATTAAATATCCGCGACATATCTTGCACGTTATGTGACTGTTCAGAGTTTTCAGTTTTATCCTTCTTTCCATGGCATCGACAATCACCATTTAACAGAGAGATATTATCTGTGATGATGGATATAATGATTGCATTAATTAAACATAGATATTAATAACCGAAGGTTACAAGAACAAGAAGGTTGTTGGAATGAGATTGGATCATCACTCAAGGAAATACTAGATTCAAGAAAATGCGAACGGGTTGGTTTAATTCACTGTTACACGAGAACACGCGGTTACAATTTCGGGGCGGTGCTAAATATAATTGCGTGCGGAAAGTGGGTTATCGAATCCTAACCTCAATTTGAAGCGTAATCGCACGATGAATGATGCAGTTTTTACTCGTCGCGGATCTCTGCGAGGTGGTTTCGTAAATTCCACAGCATATTTCCACCTCGATTCACGGATCAGGGTGAGTGATTGTGGAACTAAGGGAGTTACACTAAAAGTCTGTTTTAAAAACAACTCAATGGTTAAACGTTTACTCATACGACAACAAAACGGACCAAAACGGACTGAGAAATAAGGCAGACTGATCACTGCGCGCGCCGCTTGCTGCGTTCGCGTCGAACGACTTGAACTTATCAAGAAGAATGGGTACGATCACGTTTTAAATGTAGAAATCTTAAGTAGAGAGCCTATAATCAGAGTGGCGCCATACGTTTTTGCAGGTATGTTTCAAATTTATGTTTTAATTTTATATCTCTCTTTTTTTCTTTAATTATTTTATTATATTTCGCTAAAATCATATTGCATTATGATTAGCGAAATACAATAAAATAATTAACAATTACATTGCATAGCTTTTTAATATTATCTTTTATTGTAATCCTTTAATAATACAATAATTATTTACAATACAATGTATAATAAAAAATGTTGTTCGAAATATAATAAGAATTACATTATAGGAGCACAATTAACAAAATTTAGTAATGAGGTATTATACGAAAATATCGAAAATACATACGATAACACAAATTTTCTAAACCAATGTTTAATTAAATATTGATAAATGTGGAATGAAAATATTAACAACAATTAGATCGTACTTACTATTAATTATTAACTTGATTATATTATAAAACTTGTTAATATCGTGATAAAAAGTCATTAATACATTTACGACAAGACTTTCATCGCATTTAAGATAATTATCCCGATAATTTGATCAAGGTCCCTCCACGTTGTGATAAAGTTAGTATCCAATACAAAGAAGAAAAAAATCTTCATTGAAAAGCGAACTTGATATATTCTGATTCCACGTCAAATTCATAAGAACCATTCGCAAAAAAAGTTAAGCAACCTGTCAAACATCAGCGGTCTTATTACAGAAGGAATGTGAATTCCAAATCTTTCAGACCACTTACGATAGAAATAATTTTGGTAGCATCTTAATTACATTTTTATTGCATTTTTAATATAATATCAAAATTTGCGAGGAAATTATATGTTCTGCCACACATTACTACAAATCATCTCTTATTAAAAATAAAAAGATAAAATGATTTCCTTATGGAAT